AAAAAAAAAAAAAGGTCCTCACTTTTGGAAATCGATTCTATCTAGTGTAAAACCAGTCTCCGAAAAAAGTGAGGACTAAAAAAAAAAAAAAGGTCCTCACTTTTGAAAATCGATTCTATCTAGTGTAAATTTTTCCAAATCGCTTGGGGGGGTCCACATTTTAGAATCCAGGGGGGGTAAAACCGGAATACCCCCCCCCCCCTTGCACACGTGTGAGGGGCTTCGATTGCAAATGCGAGAAATGCGAGCCAACGCGTGCACCATTCGACCGTGAACTGATCATATTGGACCCATGCTACAAGTCGATCTTTTTGCACTTCTACAGCGATCACCACTGGATGACATGGCTATGGAATTACTTAAAATGCAACAAACTCGGAAAAATAATCAAAAATCGACCGAATGGCGTTTGAAAGGAAACGAACTATTTCACCAAGAAGACTGGCCTGAAGCAACAACTTGCTACACCAAAAGCTTGTGTTATGCCGAAGTTGGTTCTGAAAACGTGGCGTTAGCATATTCGAATAGATCAGCATGTTTCTTGCACGCGATGAAGTTGAATGAAGCCTTGGTCGATATTGATCTTGCCTTAAAGGCAAATTTACCTGATCGCCTGCTACCGAAGCTGGAACAACGTAAAAAGGATACTTTGAACTTGATGTTAATGGTTGAGCGTAAAGATAGATTCGAACCGAAACTAAGTTACAAAGTTGACAAGAATTTCCCGTGCATGGCTAATGTCGTGGAGATAAAATACAACCAAGAATTTGGTCGTCATCTGGTTGCAAAGTGCGACATTCCAGTTGGGAAAACTGTTTTGGTAGAAAAGGATTTCCTTCGAATCAGGCGTGAACCGTCGGTCTGTAATTCATGTTCACAACAATGCCTGAATTGTATGGCTTGTCCCAACTGTCCCGATGCTATGTTTTGCGGTGTTGATTGCATGAATAACGATCAAATCCACAAATTGGAGTTCGGTACATTTTTCCCAAGTCTTCCACTTGAAAATAGATTTGTGATCAAATCAATTTTGTTCGCCATCACCAGTTTTCCTAACGTAGAGAGTTTGATGCAGTTTGTTGAAGTTGCACGGCTCGAAAAGCCCGAAACATTACCGAGATTTTTGAGCGATCCCAAGTCAAAGTATCATTTCTTCTTCAAACTTTCCACATCAGCACCGTATTCTCGTGCATTAATAGAAACCCACAAGCTGTATAAAACCTCCATGGACTTGCCGAAAGTAGGCAGTCTCTTCGATAGTGATCGAAAGATGCGTTTTCTTATGCATTTGACCATGCATCATATCCTAATTTACAACAGTAATGCATTTAAATCGGGAGATTCTAAGTATGTGGCCAATGTTACATCTCTTATGAATCATTCATGTGCTGCCAACGTTATCAGTTACCCTTTAAGAGGTTATGTAATCGGTGTGACAGGACGAACAATCAGAAAGGGTGAACAGCTTTTCATCAATTACTCGAAGGAACTCGATGGAATGCCGTCAAATGAACGAAAAGCAGAATTGAAATCTCGCCGGGGCTTTGATTGCAAATGCGAAAGATGCGAGCCAACGCGGGCACCAAACGATCGAAAACTGATTACGGCGGATCCATGTTACAAATACGTGGCCAAAAATCAACACATTGATATTTTACACAATCAAACTGAATCTGCCATCATCAAGAAGAAGTGCGTTGAATTTTTGAACAAATACGGACGCTCAGTATGGTCATTGGAAATCAAATTGGTTACCATTGTATACGCAAATCAATTAGCAAATACTTTATAAGCTGTTCAACAAATGTTGTTGCAACACTTCTTTTTTGTGTTTCGGTCGCAAAAATATTTTCACAAGCATCGGGATAACAAAATAACAAAAATCCAATGCACAAATATATATCAATCAAATCAAATTACCGAAAATAAATCTTTTAAATGTATCTTTTGAGTTTATAATAAAATTAACGGTTTTTCAATAAAATATCACAGAAAAATAAACCAAATTCCAAATTTTTTTCTTTGCATTTTTTTTCCTCTCAAGAGATGGCCTTTTGTAAAAATTCAAAAATAATCCGTTCTCGTTCGACTGTTAGAGGGCACATAAGAATGACAGAGATGGCATGAGCCGTACGAATTTCACATCACAACAATGCCGAAGTTGGCACCGAAAACGTGGCGTTAGCATATTCGAACCGATCAGCATGTTTCTTCCACGGGCTAATGTTGGATGAAGTCTTGATCGATATTGATCTTGCCATAAAGGCAAATCTACCTGATCGCCTGCTACCGAAGCTGGAACGGCGTAAAAATGAAAGTGTGAAACTGATGTGGATGGGTAAACGAAAGACAAAATTTGAACTGAAACTTAGCTACGAGGCCAACAAGAATTTCCCCTGCATGGCAAATGTCGTGGAGATAAAATATAACCGAGAATTCGGACGTCATCTGGTTGCGAAGTGCGACATCCCAGTTGGCCAAGTTGTTTTGATGGAAAACGACATTCTTCGTATCAGCGATGAGCCGTCAGTGTGCTATTCTTGTTTACGATTGGGCATGAATTGTATCGCCTGTCCAAAATGCCCCGATGTAATTTTTTGCAGCTTCGATTGCATGAATAACGATCGAATCCACAAATTGGAGTGCGGCACATTTTTTCCACACCTACAGCCTGAATGTAGAGTGATAATTAAAACACTATTTTTGGCCATCACCAGTTTCCCTGACGTGGACAGTCTGATGCAGTTTGTTGAAGGTGCCCTGCTAAAGAAGCCAGAAGCATTGCCGACGTCATTGAACGATCCCAAGTCAAAGTATCATTTCTTCTTCAAACTTTCAACATCAGCACCATATGATGATTCATTTCTCAAGGCAACGTACAATATTCATAAAATCTTGATGACTTTGCCGAAAGTCAGCTGTTTGTTCAGTATTGATCGCGAGAAGCGTTTCCTCATGCATTTGATTATGCATCATGTTTTAGTTTGCAACACGAACGTAATTGGAACTGGCAGTAATTCTATTGTGGGAACAGTTTCTTCTCTCATGAATCATTCGTGTGCTCCCAACATTTTCAATAGTCCTTTTAAAAGCGGATTATTTAGTGTGACTGGACGACCAATCAAAAGGGTGAACAGATTTTCGTCAATTACTTGGGCTTCAATGATATGTTATCGGATGAACGAAAAGCAAAATTGAAAGCTGACTGGGGTTTCGATTGCAAATGCGAAAAATGCGAGCCAGCGCGTGCACCAATCGACCGAGAGCTAATCAAATCGGATCCATGCTACAAGTACGTGGTCAATACTACCATTGATATAAGCAATCAACATCAATCGGTCAACATTCAAAAGGAGTGCATTGAATTTCTGAATAAGTACGGACGCTCAGCATGGTCATCGGAAATTGAATGGATTTTCAATAGATACACATACATGGTACAAAATTCTTTGTTTTACTCGAATGCGTTGTAATGTTGTGCATCATCTGGTTTTTGTGAACTATCGCATGAATATTTTCATACATCCAATGACAGATAGCTGAGGATATATGCTGAGCATAGAAACTCAGTAAGCTGAGATTGGGACATTTTGACTTTATGACGTGTAGTCCATATAAATGCATGATGAAATGCACGAAATTTTATGGGTGCCATCATGGGAGCATATATGCTCAGCTATCTATCATTGACTGTTTTCATAACCATCGAGGAAAAGAAAATAAGAAAAATTCAATGCACAAGTAAATATCGATCCGAAAATAAATCCCAATAGTAAGCCACATTTCCGAAAATAAATCGTATACGATTTTAAAAAGATCAATTAATACAAAACCATATATGTTAACCTATGGCTATGCATTTAAATTTGAATAAAGAGCCAAGAAAATAGACCGGAATATGTACCAATTTTGTACTTGAATGTTTTTCCATTTAAACAAAATTCTTCTCTTGGCATTTTTCCCTCTCGAGAAATAGCCTTTTGTAAGTATTGAAAAATAATCGATTCTCATTCACTGGTTAGAGAGCACATAAGAATGACAGAGACAGCATGAGCCATACGAGCACTGCTCACAACATTACTGTACATCGGCGTTTTACCAATACACACAATCAGATGCAGAGTTCGCCACGCAGAAGAATACTTCATGCAAATTGGTTCGTCGCTCGTGCGTATTGGTTCGAATTGATATACAATACATTGACAGTGCGAATGATATTGACGTTTATACTAACCTACAATCTGCTCCATTTGATTTTTTGGTCAACCAAAGGGCACAAACGTTCACGCTGTCGGCCTGCATTTCATATTCTTCATTTGCGTAAAAAAGTTTACTCGTCTTCGATTTTTTCTTCATTCAAGTAATAATCCAGATAGCTGCTACATTCCATTATATTCTGAAGGGGTTCGACGAAACACGGTATGTCAATTGAATTAAGAAAAAACAATTCAAGGAAAATAACCTAATTTTTAAGCAATGAATTATGCAATACGGTCAATTTTTTATAGAACTCATCAAAAATGGACAACTTATGGAAGAAGGAAACAGGGCGAGCTGATTACGTCAATCTTTTTTCAACTTCGAAAGAATCATCTGTCGACATGTTTGTTGAACTACTTAAAATGCAACAAACTCGAAAAGATAATCAGCAATCAACCGAATGGCGCTCGAAAGGAAACGAGTTTTTTCGACAAGAAAATTGGGAGGAATCATTGAAATGCTACAACAAAAGTTTGTGTTTTGCTGAAGTGGGCACCGAAAACGTGGCGTTAGCATATTCGAACCGATCAGCATGTTACTTTCATTTAAGGTTGTACAATCAAGTCTTGATCGATATTGAACTCGCCAAAAATGCGAAACTACCAGATCGCCTGCTGCCGAAGCTGGAACAGCGCAAGAATGAAAGTGAACTGATGAAGCAACTGATGCCGATGTTTAAGCGTGAGGAAAAATCCGAACCAAAACTAAGCTATGAAGCTGACAAGAATATTCCGTGCATGGCAAATGTCGTGGAGATAAAATACAACGAAAAATTCGGTCGTCATCTGATTGCTAAGTGCGATATTCCAGTTGGACAGACAGTTTTGGTGGAAAATGACATTCCTCGAATCAGGGATAAAACATCGGTGTGTTATACATGTTATCGATTGCACTTGAATTGTATGGCTTGTCCAAACTGTCCCGATGTTATGTTCTGCGGCGTTGATTGCATGAATCGCAATGAAACACACAAATTGGAGTGCGGCACATTTTTTCCACACATTCAGCTTGAAGGCAAAATGGTAATCAGAACACTATTGTTGGCCATCACCCGTTTTCTTGACGTGGACAAACTGATGCAGTTTGTTGAAGGTGCCCTGCTAAAGAAGCCAGAAGCATTGCCGACGTCATTGAACGATCCCAAGTCAAAGTATCATTTCTTCTTCAAACTTTCAACATCAGCACCATATGCAGAAGCTCTAGACGATGCACACCACTTTTATAAGATGGCCATGAATTTGCCAAAAGTCAGCAGTCTGTTTGAAAGTGCTCGAAAGAAGCGTTTCCTCATGCATTTGATTGCACACCATGCCGTTATTACAAAATGTAATGCGATTACAGCTGAAAGTCAAGTATACGTGGCCAACGTTTCATCATTGTTGAATCATTCGTGTGCTCCGAACATTATGAGTCATTGCGTCTCAAGCTTTGTATACGGTGAGACAAAACGACCAATCAAAAAGGGTGAGCAGCTTTTCTTCAATTACTCAATTACTTGGGCATCAACGATATGTCGTTAAATGAACGAAAAGCCGAATTGAATGCTTGGTGGGGATTCGATTGCAAATGCGAAAAATGCAAGCCAACACGGCCATTAATCGATCGAGACGTGATTATATCGGATCCGTGTTACAAGTACGTGGTTGAAAATCAAAACAATGTTCGTGACATTGATGTCATTCTGGAAAAATGTATTGCATTCCTCAACAAATACGGACATTCGGCATGGTCTTCGGAATTGGAGTTGATATCCAATATTTATGAAAAGACCTTAATTAAGGCTTATTTAATTTAATTTAATACTTTTTCATGTTTGATTTCATTGCCTCTTCTTATTTCTATCGCATCAATACGGTCGCTTCGTTAAGTATCAAATTAAGTGAATGAAAAAAAAAATGACAAGCAAACAATGTCAAGAAATGAGTCAACATTTTCGAAAATATTCAGCATGGATCAAACTCTTTAAAATTAAATAAAGAAACAAAACAAAGTTGTACCAGTTTTGTATTACATGAAAAAGAGGTCTTTTACTGATCTTTCTTGCAAGACTAAATCAAATTCGCTTATTTTTTCTCTTATTATGAGATAGTCCTTTGCATGAAATGAAGAGTAAGTATTATTTCAATTGTGATACATTCAAGTAAATTTAACAAATTGGGCCAACCAAAGCACAGGTTTAGGTAATAATTCTGGATGGAAACGACTTAAAATAATACCAAACGTAGAACGTGACGGATTTTGAACCAAGAAAACCTTGTGTGTTTTTAAATCAAATTCAAACACATAGGATAAATCATCCACATAAATTTGCAAGAGACTCATACAATAAATCACATGCAAACATCAATACAGAGAATACTATATTTTGATCATAGCCTGTCGTTACCATTGCAGAGTACATCAAGTGTAAGAGTAGTCGAATTTTATGAATCTGTTGAAAAAGGCTACAGTCAAAGTAACAGCTTTCGAAACAAAAAGTCCCAAACGCATGTACAATACTATAGGTACATGTGTTAGAATTACATGTATGTGTAGCGCGCCGGCTGATAATGCATACGACGCGAATAATAAGACGCATTGGTATGTGGTTGCGGCTATGCGCTCTACAATAGCCATATGAGCTGGTGTAAACGCTATCAAATTGAACATGTATTCACGAAATTGCGTTGTTCTTTGTAGTCAGACTTCATCGACGAAACGATTCAGTTGTGTTTGTGCTTTGAGAAAGGAGTGTCTAAGGAGTATTGTTGATGGATTAATTTCACCATAAAATGCAAATATTTGCGTTCGCTTGAAAAAAAAAAGTGGATTATTTTCATCAATTTAAGTGTTTAAATATGTAGAAAAACAGAAAAACCGAGGAAAACACTCATATTTTATTTCACTTGATATTGAACCATTCTTTGAAGCCAGCGAAATTTATTTGTTTCAAGTTACTTCAGTGGCGAAAATATTTCCATGTACATTTTATACTTGAACGTGATTGGAAAATAGACAATTATAATGGAATTTAGTTTAAAAGACAATTTGTTCATATTCTTCAAGACATACATTCAGTTGTCCCTCTAGAGCAAAAGTGTCATTTGTGTCGCAGACAAAAAACCGCAAACCGACGCAACGTGACGCGACTCGATTCAGACACCAATACCAACACATGGGTGTCAGTTATTCAGTGCAAAAACGATAAACCCTAGAAATCAACCGGATAACCGGTAACGTTTCAAGGTCAGAAGTCCAGTCACTGGGACTCTAGTACATATTTTAGAAGTGAATTAATTTATGGTATGTCAACTAAATTATGAAAAACCATTGAAGAAAAAACCTTTTTTTCGACGAAATGCAAAATTTTACAATACGGTCAATTTATTACAGAACCCATCAAAAATGGACAACTTATGGAAGAAGGAAAAAGTACAGGGTAATTACGTCGATCTGTTTGCATCTGTGAAGAATCCGTATTTCGATATATATCTTCAATCGGTCAAAGCGCAACACACTCGGAAAAACAATCAGAAATCGACTGAATGGCGCTCGAAAGGAAACGAACTATTCCGCCAAGAAAACTGGCTCGAAGCAGCAATTTGCTACATTAAAAGTTTGTGTTTTGCTGAAGTTGGCACAGAAAACGTTGCATTAGCATATTCAAACCGATCGGCATGTTATTTTCACATGAGGTTGTATAATGAAGTCTTGATGGACATTGAACTCGCCAAAAACGCAAATCTACCTGATCGCCTGCTGCCGAAGCTGGAACAGCGTAAAAAAGAAAGTAAACTGATGTCGATGCTTGAGCTTAAAGAGGAATTCCAACCGAGACTAAGTTACAAAGCTGATCGGAATATTCCGTGTATGGCAAATGTCGTGGAGATTAAATACAACGAGAAATTCGGTCGTCATCTAATTGCAAAGTCAGACATTCCAGTTGGGAAAATTGTTTTGGTGGAAAATGATATTCCTCGAATCAGGGATGAACCATCGGTGTGTCATTCATGTTTACGATTATGTATGAATTGTATGGCTTGTCCAAACTGTCCCGATGTTGTATTTTGTAGCGTTGATTGCATGAATAACGATCAAATTCACAAATTTGAGTGCGGTACATTTTTTCCACACTTACAGCCTCAAGGTAGGATTTATATCAAAATACTGTTGTTAGCCACCACCAGTTTCCCCGATGTGGACAGTCTGATGCAGTTTGTTGAAAGTGCATTGCTCGAACAGCCCGAAACATTACCGACATCATTAAACGATCCCAAGTCAAAGTATAATTTCTTCCTCAAACTTTCAACATCAGCACCGTATGCTCAGGCATTAACAGAAGCTCACAAGGTTTATAAAATCATGATGGATTTGCCAAAAGTAAGCGGTCTGTTCGATAGTGCTCGAAAGAAGCGTTTTCTTATGCATTTGGTCATGCATCATATCCTAGTGTACAACAGTAATGCATTTAAATTGGGAGATTCTCAGTATGTGGCCACAGTTTCTTCGCTTATGAATCATTCATGTGCTCCCAATATAATCAGTTGTGCTTTAAAAAACTATGTAATCGGTATGACAGGACGACCAATCAGAAAGGGTGAACAGCTTTTTAACAATTACTCATTGGAACTCTGTGGAAAGCCATCAAATGAACGAAAAGCAGAATTAAAATCTCGTTGGGGTTTCGATTGCAAATGCGAAAGATGCGAACCGACGCGTGCACCAATCGATCGGAAGATGACCACATCGGATCCATGTTACAAGTACGTGGTCAAAAATCAACAAATTGTAGATGTACGCAATCAAACTGAATCGGCCATCATTAAGAAGAAGTGCATTGAATTTTTGAACAAATACGGACGCTCAGCATGGTCACCGGAAATTGAATTGGTTTTCAATGTATTCGCAGATTATTTTGCAAATGCTTTGTAATGTGTTGCAAGTTGCAACACTTATTTTTTTGTGTTACTTCCATCGCATGAATATTTTCAAAGGAATTGAAAAAAAAAAATTAAAAAGAAAAAAAACGATGCAGAAAACGAATCAGCAGAATAAAAGAGTAAATAGAATAAATAATAGAATAATCCTTTGAAAAATCTCAATCAATACAAAACTTTACGGGATGGCCCACTCGAAGTGTAAACGAAATAAATCTTCAGAACTTTTTTTCCTAATAAATATTTTTTGATGACCAATCGATCGAGACCTAATTACATCGGATTTGTGTAGGCTATTTTAGTTTAATGCTTTTCACGTTTAATTCTTATTCCCTTTTCTTACTTCTATCGCATCAATATTTTCGTTTCGTCAAGTATAAAATTAAGTGAACAGAAAAATAGTAAGCAATCAATGTCAAACAAATCAACGTTTTTGAAAATGATCATCTCGATCAAACTCTTTAAATCTAAATAAAGAAACAAAACAAAGTTGTACCAGTTTTGTATTACATTGAAAAAGCGTTCTTTTACTGATATATTTTTCTTGCAAGACTACATCAAATTCGCATATTTTTCTCTTATTGTGAGATAGCAATTTGCATGTAATGAAGAGTAAGTATTTTTTGAGCTGTGATATGTTCAAGTGAATTTAATGAATTAGGGCATCCAAAGCACAGGTTTAGGTAAGAATTCTGGATAAAAATGACTTGAAATAATACGTAATGTAGAACGTAAATTACCCGCCTGATTTTTAACCAAGAAAAACTTGTTTGTTTCTAAATCAAATTCAAATACATAGGCTAAATAATCCACATAGATTTGCAGCAGACTCCTACTCATCTCTATGTCGCTAAGAAGCCAAAGGCTTCATCACAAGAGAGTGCATTTTTTTCTATTAAAACTTAAGTCTATATCAAAAGTAGGTAAGCAAACATAATGTTTATTCACTTTGTCGTAAAGGTCGATGCCTTTTCTTCGTCTTTGCAATTATACGATTTTTTTTAATTGTTATTTTTCCAAAAATATTTTCACTTTTCACAGAAAACTAACAATTTATTCGTGTTTTACAGAAATTGCGTCTGACTTTTCAAATAAGTCATTTGAAATGACTGAAAAAAACTAAAAAAAACTGCTCACACTTGAGACATAAGAGGCATATACATATTATACAATGCAAAAGATCAAGCATGAATGATTTTTTTATTTGTTTCGTCCTCACACATTTAGATCATAGCGTGTTGTGTGTGTTTCTCTCAGAAGTGTTATGGAGAGTGTATCAAGTGTAGAAGAAGTGGTTGACTATGAATCTGTTGAAAAAAAAGTCGCAGTAACAATAACTTTCGATTATTATCGCACTCAACTCAATGATTTTTCAAGAAAGCGAAACAGTTTGAGAATAGCATTCCGTTAGTGGTGACATCACATTGGGTAAATGTTGAAAAAAGCAACGCTCCTGACCAATTTTCATGCAACATCAGTAAGTTTTTGTTCAGACGCTATAAATAAGAACGTATTAAACGAAATCAGTGAATAAACCGACACCAGAGTAGACGCGTTATAAATTATCACTTGGTTAATTTTCGGCTCCGCTTCGTTTATTTTCTCTTTGATTTGAATCAGTTACTGCCTGTAAACAATAGAATGTATTCTTCCGCTTACAATTTTTGACTGCGGCAATTTTGTTTACAAACAAACAAAAAACGCACTGAGTTTCGGTCGTGTGTGAGTAAGCGGAGTCGAAAAGACCCATACGCATTCATGTATCATATATGTTCTGTACATTCATGTGTAAGAGCTACATGTATGTAGCCGGCATGCGACGCGACCAATATGATACATTAGTATGTGGTTGCGGCCTTCCACTCCGCAACAGCCATATGAGCTGGTCACTAACGCCATTAAATTGAACATGTATTCGGGCCCTTGCGTTGTTCGTTGTAGTCGGGCTTCATCAACGAAACGATTCAGTTGTGTTTGTGCTTTGAGAAAGAAGTGTCTAAGAAGTATTGTTGATGGATTAATTCCACCATAAGACGCAATTATTTGTGTTCGTTTGGGAAAAAGTGGATTATTTTCATCAATTCATGTGCTTAAATATGTGAAAAAATAGAAAAACAATCATTTTAAATCGAATCATTCCTTAAATAAAAAAAACTTTATGTGTTTCGAGTGAATTTAGCGGCGAAAGAATTTATATATACATTTTATACTTGAATATGATTAGAAAATAGACAAATTATTGTGAAATTCAGTTTGAATGACAATTTGTGCACATTTTTCAAAACATACATTCGGTCGTCTCTCTAGCCCAAAAGTTTTATTTGTGTCGCATACGAAAAACGCAACTGTGAACTACTTTTTTATATTCGCGACGCGACTCAGACACCATTACCAACGACATAGGTGTCAGACACTCGGTGCAATAAACCTTCTAGAAACGAACCGGTATCATTTCAAGCTCAAAAATTCAGTGTTCGAAAGTGGATGAATTTAGTGACTTTGTGTGGTTATCACGTTTGTTTGAAGCTAAATTTGAACTTCTACATCGACAAAGACAGGACTTCAATCGATTCAGAATTGAAACTGAAGTAAGTCAACATAAAATTATATCTGGAAATAAAATTAGGACCATGAAATTTCATTTGAATTTGGATTAATAAGGGAGAGTCATTTTACTTTGTATTCACTATTGATTCGCTGTTCTCGGCCTAACAATACATCTATTGTGTGTTTGAAAAAACCACTTATGGTATAGAATTGTATATACAATACGAATAAACATATTAATTGCTTGGACTGGAAATGTATTTTTTCACAAAGAGAACTGGAGAGAACGCCGAAATATGGATAACATGTTACTACACGCCTGGTTTTGTTTAGATTACGTTATCCATATGTCATGTCTTTCAATTCGTTCCACTACACACACAAAGAAAAGGGTCTTTAAGAACAAATAAACAGAGAAATGTCAATTCAGCTGAATGAAACAGTTTCAAAACCGATAATTAATTCTCATGATTTCTTTTGATTTTATTTAACATTTCTCAGCATTTCTTTTCGTTCTTTTTCTGTTACCGGAACAAATTCAGTTGATGGCAACGCATTTGTTCCGAATAAAACACTTTAGTTCATATATAGAAACGGAGTTAAGAGTTACCTCTCGGATTGATATGGTTTTGAACGGGTTTTAGGATAAAAAAATATTATTGTTGTTCGGTTCGTGGATGCGAGCATGTATGCTATGTGAATAGTGCCTTGAGTGTGATTTTTTAAGCACATTATCAAATTGAAGCGATTCTCAGACAAATTTAATCAGGATTTCCCGTTCCCGTCTAATATCTCATTTTATCATTAATCAATCGCACGTGTTCGTAGCGTGATGTGCCCGCATGTATTTTTTATTGAATTGCATCTATTCAATTTTTTTTAAATAAATCCAAACGATTTTTAATTCATTCATTTTTCCCATGACACTGATGACACAACCCTTTTTTTGGTAGGGTACAATCAATAGTTGTCTGATCCAACGAATCCAATTTGGGAAATGCAACCAATTCACATTTTTTAACTGTATCTTCATATATATTCACACACACATAAAAGAGATTCGTATACTTCAGCACACCAATATACTAGAATTCATATGGAGCGCACACGATGTGCACCACATTTACGTAGCGAATGTTTGCGGGCCATACTAATTCTATAAAAAAAACGATTTTCTACGGTGTATGCCGCACCACATTCTCTGTTGTGCGAAATGTACTCTGCATGATTTCATCCGGGTTTAAATGCATTTGTATCCTTTAATACATGTTCTCTATTTCAAATTGCTTACATAGACTTTACAATCCATATAGACTCTGTTTGTGAGTCGAATCGATATATTATGATAATATCGATTATATTATTCATAATAAACGGCATAAGTTGGGACTTAGGCATCTTGAGCATAAGCATTTTCATAGTTTAACGATTGACCAAAAATTGAGATGTGATGTCATTTCATATTTCGGAATAGCAAAAGAAAACTGTTTTACTTCCAGTTAATAATGTGCACATCCATTCCATCAGTTTGAATACTATATTTAGATCATAGCCTATCATAGTTATTATTCAAGATTGTTATCGAGACTGCATCAAGTGTAAAAGTAGTCGTTGACTGTGAATCTTTTAAAATAAGGTCACAGTCGCAATAACAGTAACTTTCGATTTTTATCGCACTCAACACAAGAGTTACTCAGGAAAGCGAAAAAGTTTGAGAATAGCGTTCCGTTAGTGGTGATATCACATTGGTTAAATGTTTGAAGAAAAAAAACAACGCTCCCGGCAAAATTCCCATGCAGCATCAGCAAAGTCTTTGTTCAGACGCTATAAATAAGAACGTATTAAACGAAATCAGTGGATAAAGCGACACCAGAGTAAATGCCGTATAAATTATCCCATGGTTCGTTTTCGGCTCCACTTCGTTCAATATTTTCTTTAGATTTGAATCAGTTACTGCCTGTGTAACAACAATAGAGTTTATTCTTTTGTATACAATTTTCGACTGGCGATAAATTTGTTTTCAAACAAAAAAAAATGCGTTGATTTTCGGTCGTGTATGAGTAAGCGGAGTCGAAAAGACCCACACGTATGTACTATGTATGTTCTGCACATACATGTGTAAGAGCTACATGTGTGTAGCCGGCATACGACGTAAATAATAAGACGTATTGGTTTGTCGTTGTATATGTCGTATATGCTCCGCAATGGCCATATCAGCTGGTCACCAACACCATCAAATTGAACATGTATTCGGGCTATTACGTTGTTCGTTGTAGTTGATCTTCATCAAAGAAACGGTTCCATTGTGTTTGTACTTTAAGAGAGATGTGTCGAAGAAGCAATCTTGACAAATAAATTATCGGCATTCTTTTGAAAGAAAAAAATGGGATCATACTCAGTAATTCATGTCTTTAAATATGTGGAAAAAACCAAAGAACAACTGAATTTGGTTCTATTTCAAATCGAATAATTCTTTGAAAGTTTCAAATTGAAACCAAAACATCTTTCTGTGTTTTGAGTGACATATGCGGCGAAAGTATTTGCAAATGAATTTTATTTTATTTGTTAAATTCAGTTGTGATGAACCTTCTTTTGTGCACAATTTTGGAAAATTTACCTTTACTCGTCTCTCCAAACCAGAAGTTTTGTTTTTGTCGCACACAAAAACGATAAAACTATCTAGAAATTAATCGGCATCGATGCCAAATGATCATTTCAAGGTCAAAAATGTAAATGCCATTAACCATAATTAATCATAGCATTATATGATTGCTGATTGATTGTCAATATGGTTTCCTTTTATGCTCGGTTGAATGGGGAAAAATACACTCCGCACAAAGATTGATATTAGCATGGAATTTTCATGATGAAACTGGTCATTTTCGGTTCAATATAAGACTATATCGCTACTAGAATCCAGATTCATTCAACATGCCTTGAAA